GGGGGGTTACAGGTGAAACTGGGGGGGCTGTGGCTGAACTGGGGGGGTTGTGGCTGAACCCTCCCTGACGGTTCCTGTGCTCCCCAGCCCGAATGGTGCCGGGGCCGCGGCGGTGCCGGAGCAGAGCCCTCCCGGGGAGCGCGGCCCCAGCCCCCCGCCGCAGGTACGGCCCTGCCGCCCTCCCGCACCCCGCTGCCAAACCCGGCCGGGGGTATTTACACCAAAACCTGGCCGAGTTTGGGGGGTTTTTGGTTAACTGGGGGGCGCTGCCCTCACCCTCTCGCTGCAGGAAGGACGAGACCCCGGCCTCGGCGCGTCCCCGGCGGCGGCGTCTCCCCCGGAGTCACCCCACGGCACCGGGGAGGCACCGGAGACCGGGAGCCAAACTCCAGGCGGGACGGGGGACGGTGGGGACAGACCCCAGCCCGGAGAGGAGGGGGCTGCAGCAGAGGTGGCTCCTCCGAGGGATCCCCCCGGGGACACCGGGACACCGGCCCCTCGCCCCGAGGAGGGGGGCGACGGCAGCGAGCGCCGCGGTGACGCCGAACCCAGCCCGGAGCCACCGGCACCGGGAAACGCCGGGGAAGGTGAACCCGGTGTCGGATCCCAGGGAGGAGAGCGGCAGCAGGAGGAGGAGGAGGATTTGGGGGGCAGCCCCCCCACGGCGGAGGGCACCGGGGCTGCCGGCACCGCGGCTCCGGTGAGCCCGTCCCCGCCAAAACCCTCGGGAGACGCCGGCGGCCGCCGGGAGGAGGAGGATGGAGGGGGAGACGGCGCCAAGGAACCGGAGCCACTGGGGGAGAACGGCCCCCAGCCCCCACCGACAGAGGTAATGGGGGGTAAAACCCCCCCAAACGCCAAACAACCCCCCAAAAATGGCAAGCCGACCCCCCAAAACACCAAACCGCCCCCCAAAATACCAAGGCAAGCCCAAAAAATGTCAATTCAACCCCCAAAACATGTAACAATGCTCCAAAACGCCAAAGCAAGCACCAAAAATGTCAACTCAGCCCCCCAAAACACCTAACAACCCCCCAAAGTGCCAAAGCAAGTCCCAAAAATGCTGACTCAACCCCCCAAAACATGTAACAATCCCTCAAAACACCAAAGCAAGCCTCAAAAATGCCAACTCAACACCCCAAAACACCAAACAACCCCCCAAAACACCAAAGCAAGCCCCAAAAATGTTGACTCAACCCCCCAAAACAGCAAACTGCTCCCCTGAAACACCAAAGCAAGCACCAAAAATGCCAACTCAACGCCCCAAAACACTTAAAAATCCCCCAAAATGCCAAGCCAAGCCCCCCCAAAGGTCAGACCACCCCCCCGAACACCAAACGGATGCCCTAGAACACCCAAATCACCAACACCCTCCCCCTAAACACCGAACGACTCCCCCAAACACCGAACAAAACTGAAACACCACCAAATCCCCTAAATTACCGAAAACATCAACACCCCCCCAAAAAAACACCAACCCCCCCACAAAAATGCCTGAAACTCCAGAGAAAACCCCCCCAAAGCACCAAACAACCCCCCTTAA